CATGTTGGAAGGCAAAGGAAATAAAACCCAAACACAGCCCCGTTCCCCCACTGCCTGTCGACAGGGTGCATTTTAGCAAGCCCCTGACTTCAGCTGTTGTGGAAGGAGCCTGGTCTATTTATACAGTGCTGACATTCAGTGCTCACTGGTTACTTTGCTAAGTCAAAAGGAAAAGGAGAAGCCATGAAGCACAGGAGTGGATGCTCCAGTAAACAAACTGTTTGGATAGCTGGGGCTGGATAGCCAAGAGTTGCACTCCCAGGCACTACACCAGCTTCTGCCAAAGTTGCTACCTCAGTAAGGAGGCTTTTAAAAAGTTGTTCCCAGTATGCTGAGCTCTTCAGAGACTCCAGATGTTACAGAATTATAGAAAATTAGGGTTGGAAGGGACCCCAGGAGGTCATGCAGTCCAGCCCCTGCTCGAAGCAGAACCATTCCCAACTAGATCATCCCAGTCAAGGCTTTGTCTAGCTGGGTCCTAAAAACTTCCAAGGATGGGGATTCCACCACCTCTCTGGGTAACCTGTTCCAGTGTTTTACTACCCTCCTAGGGAGAAAGTTTTTTCCTAATATCTAACCTAAACTGCCCTTGCTGCAACTCGAGACCATTGCTCCTTGTTCTGTCATCTGCCACCACTGAGCATAGACTGTGCGCACTGGGCCTGCAGGGGAACTCCAGTCTTGGTGGTCTTAGCAAAATCAAGAGCAGAGTCCTTCAGGATTTGGAAAGGAGGGAGGGTGCAGGAGGGGCTAAACTGCGTACATCTCAAGCTAATAGAGTGGAGCATAGTAGCCCACTGCTTCACTTGCACTATGCTGACCTATACTCACTAGGGATCACTTGGGCGTTCTGCTACAGAAAGGGCAGATTATAGAGTAAAAAAAAAATCCCAAACATATTGGTTTCTAAAATCTTATTTATTTATTTAAGTAAAAATGAAATGAGCCAAACTGACGGTGCTACCTTGAGAGCAGGCTCATGCAGCTCCAGCTAGGTTTTCCCCTGCTGGAAAGGTCAGGCGGTACATTTATTTTGATATAGCATTTGTCATATTTGTGATGGCATGGATCTTCCAAATGTCTTGCTCATTGCCAAAAATACACGACCTTAACAACTCATCACTTCTAGGACACCCATATCAGGTATGTGTCATGCTACAAGGGTGCCCAAGTGTTGCCCTACCAGTGCGAGTTGAGCCTGAAAAACACCTTCATGTTGCCTCCTGTTTCATGGTCCCACCTCAGACTCTTGGCGGCCTGACCCACACCTGTTGGGGGCGTATGCGATATACAAATATTGAATATTGAAAGTACTGCAACAGGGTGGTGATGGTGGCCAGTATTGTGTGCACTACCGCCCTCTGCTGAACAAACTCAGAACTTACCACATGTTCCACAGGCCATTGGCAACACCAAACTGAAGCTCTTCTCTAGTGTGACAGCAATTCCCATTTTTAGAGTGAACCCGCTCCCTGGCATCACTGTAGAGTGCTCAGTGGTCAGGCTGTGCAGGAGAGTAGCAACCATGAAATCCTCAAGCCTACAGATTTCATGGTGCCTTGCACATTCATGGCATTTAACTAGCACCCTCTCACAAGAGCTATGGGGTATTGTTACTGTTATAAGCCAAGGTAATACATTTTCCTATGGACAGCTCTGTTTCTGCAGCAGACTGAGTCTCTCATACCTGGAATTTATGCCTCTGGGAAGAGAATAGTCTATTGTATTAGACTGACATGGGATTTGTTCTAGGCTGAGGCTAGGCTGTCATGGGGAGGGTCTCTGGGAATGAGATCTTTGAGGCTGCATTTTGCTTCTGTGGTCTGTGACAAGCCCTTAGTCACAGGGATGACAAGTGATATGGATACACATGGCTTTGCTTGCAGCCTCACCCCGTGTGCTCTCAGCATACGTTAGCAGTCACTCATTCTGCCTGAAAGGCCGCAGCTTGCTTCTGGTGTTTCCTGCACGAAAACGGGCCTTTGAGGCAAAGACAATGCCAGTGGCACCAGTGAGGGTCTCCAACTCACTTGCAGAGGTAGCTCTCCACAAGGGAAGAGGCCTCCCTTCATGCTTTTGGCAATCAAAGCAGATCCTTACTTATTCCCTCTTCCCCTGAAAGGCACATGCTCTGCTTATATCATGGGTGCAGAGTGGTCCATACTCCCTAGTTTCCTCTGCTTTGCGTCAGATAAATCTGAGGAAGCGTGTACCCAACGCTGCATTGCAAGAGCTTTAGACACTGACATGGAACTGACTCTTACATTTGACACCTACCTTCATTCCTTTCTACATTTGACACCTTTATGCACAGGTCTTAGCACCATTTGTCATATGCTGGATCAGGTCAGATTCTTTCTGGAAGAGGAATCAGGGGGATCTTCCCATAGAGCACCATGAGCAGCACCTCCCCGAGACCACCTGCTTGCTTCAGTGAGCGAACCATAGCAGAGAGCCCTCCATTCTCCTCTCATGGGATGTTCTCCTTATCCCCAACCCAGTACCTGAAATGGACCCAAATTTCTGCAAGGTACTTGAAAGCTTTCAGGTTGAAATGGTGGAAATCTCAGACACTGACCCTCCTTTCAGGGCCAGATGTTCAAAAGAGCTCAGTGCTCAGCTTCTGGTTGCTCGCCTGCTGGCATTGAGCCTTTCTGAATGTCTGGGAACAAAACCCTCTTGCAAATCTAGCCCTGGGCCTGTTTTGTCAGTCCGTAGAGAGAACAAGGTGAAATGCTTTTGACTCCCTTAGCTGACAGCTTGTTTTACTTGCCTATGGGAGAGTGAGAATTCCTGCTCCCCATGCCTCTGCAGTGGTGTCATTTGTTTTTTGTTGGTGTTGATGCTGCCATTGCTGTAGGAATGTTCTTGGCTTGTTCACCATGTGCATGAAATCTCATGGACATCAGCCCAAATTGAGTGTCCGGTGCCTTTCCAGAAATGATGGCTTAGCTCGGTTTCACTCAGGGGGTGCAGGGCTCACGTAGGACTTACCACATACATCTTTGCCTCCATCCTGAGTGTACTGGACATTCAGTTGCTATCCATAGCCATGGGGTAAGGAGTGTTAAGAAAACCCACCAGGTAAGGTGCTTTGAAAACCCACCAGGCTGGCTCTCCCAAGACCTCCCTCATCAAAAACCTCAGCTAAGCAGAGAACTATGGAGCAGTGCATGTTCAGCCAACAGCAGCA